TCGCTTCCATAAAATAAATAATCTTAAAACTCGTGATAACCACCTTGTAACTTGTAAGTGGTGTGTTGCCCTGTTTCGCCACGTAGTCAGTGAGAGCTACGACACTTAGCCTATTTAACAAAAGATAAAGTAGTAAGTAATACAATTTTATCCTTTATTTTCTTAATACAGTGTAAAATAATATTATCTTAACATATCTGTCATAATTTATGATTAGTTCAATATTCTTATCACCAGCTTTTTTCTGAATTTCTCAATGATATTCTCAAATAATTCTAATGTTCTATTTATTAGAGTTATTTTTGTGCTTCTAACTTTGCTACATAGAGAATATCGTTTATTATGGATAACACGACATCAGAAGCATTTGATATGATATCTATTTGATTAACTGTTAAAATCACACTAGGGATGGGTTCGACTATAAACGGCTACGATTATTAATAGCCAATTTGCTAAATACTGAGAATATTTTTTTGTTCTTGAGCTTTTAATTAAAGTTTTTCAGAATTAAGTTTAGTTCATCCCATATTATAAAGTAGAAAGAACGATGCCTCCTCATAACCAACTATTAGCTAGTGGCTAGTAGCCGGCTATGATATTAACAAATCTTAAAATTCCGTGTTCCAGATAAGATGGGATGAACAGATTTAGTTCTGAACAATTTAATTAAAAGCTCAAGAACAAAAAATCATCTCATTTTTAGCAAATTGGCTATGAATAATCGTAGCTGTACCCATTCCTAAATGGCACTCTCAAAGCAGGAAAGAATACCCACAATTGCACCAAGTGGTGTACGTAGTTCTATAATAAGAATGAGATTAATTAGAATTATCGAATAAAATTTTAGCAGCATACTAAACAACAATATACCATGAGATGTATTTTTTAAAATTTGCTGTGATACTTCAAATTTATTCATCATGCGTTGCATTGGACCATGATGTCTTAATGTCCATGAATACATGATCTGTTTTCTATGATTAATTTAAGTCTTCCAGATGGTTCAAGTACAATTGACTTGGTCTTCAGGACTATGCCTCTTGAAAGGGCTGCTGTCATGCTGCCCTGCCACTCTTTCGTTTTTATATCTATATGATTGGTTATATTAGTATTGCATCATAAGCTTCTAAATTAGTAATTCATTAAATTTATACTTATCTTCCACTTGCATATACCAGATTCTCTTTTTAAAACCGGGATCACCCATGTGATCATTGCTTGCATAAAATACTGATTACGAAAGAAAATTTTGACATTGTGAAAAAAGGGTGAATTGTGATGGTTAAATTTGGCATAAAATTAGGCTGTGTTTAATTTTCTATTTTTATTTTTCTATTTTTAGTTAAATTTCCATTTATGGCTAGTATATCGACAAATTTAATTGATTCAATTGATTCGATTCGATAGATTCAATAGATTCAATAAATTTTATTTTATCAATTCTTAGTCTGTAAAACTTTAGTATATAAGAGCTTTGAGCTCACCTTCAATAAAAAGAACAGAGAGTTGGTATGACCTAGTAGAGTTCGACTCATAAAGAATCTAATCCAGTGATTCTGAATTAGAGCCTTGTGGCATAATCACGAGCTCTATTTGACTCTAGTAACTCAGACCAAGTCTTTCTATGCCTTCTTTTGTGCCTATCACTATTAGGGTTTGGATAGAGTTTAGTGGTAGTTTAGCTATTGCAGTGTTAACTTAGATTAATATAGTATTAGTTGATATCCGTGAGGTCTATATTTTGAGATTCCGGATCGATTTAGCCTCTCACAATGTACAGCAGCACACAAATTGCATAGGTACAGTACAATTTTTAAGTTTTAGGTATATGCGGGCTACAGGCTGGTCCAGGCCTACTCAAAAACCGATATAGCCCAACCTGGCCTGTATACTGAATCTTCTGCCAACTGAAACAGCAAGTCAGTCACTAATCAAATCGAGATGTTGTGTAACCTATGATCAGCTTAGTCGAGAGAGACATTTAGATTTGGCGAGTGGATAATTTAATCATAGATATGGCTTCCTTATCTTTTATTAAGCCTTGTTAATATACACTACACTTGTACTTTCTATCAACACAATAACCATAGCTTGAGTTCTTCAACAATAACCCGAAACTAATAAACCACAACAATCCTCGATATGTTGGGAATGTTGAAAACAATAACCACAACTGTCCTTGGTATGTTGGGAAAGTTGGAAAACCACGGCAGTCCTCAGTCCATCGAGAATCAACCGGAAGGTAACATTTACGAAGTCAGATGCACAAGTCAATTACGAGAAAAGATCTTTCACTATGCCTAGAGATGGAAAAATGCGCATTTTATAATAACATGCACATAAATGCGCATTAATGCGCACATTATATAAAATGCGCATAATATCACATGATATAAATTTTTGATTTTATATTTTTCCTCCGGAAAATATCGGATATTTGCCAAAGTTTTTCCCTGACCTTTTCATCTTTATGTTCATTCATTTTCTTTTTGGAATTTTTCAAAACTTTTCCATTCCTATTTCTTAATTTTGCCTTGCATTAGGCCACGCAAAGTTAATTTTTCGTTTTGCATTACATGGATTTCAAAATTAGAGACGGATGGACGGATTTTTTTTTTTTTTTTATTGTATTTTTTTTTTTTAATTCAATTTACTGCAAATAGAATAATGATCACATTTAAGATTATATTTGATAACAAGGAATTAAAAAATTGGGCCGGCAGTCATATTTTTCCTATCAGTTCTATCAGACAATTACGGGAAATTAAAGTCTCCATCAGGTGAAAATAGCGGGAAAAAATAGATGTCAAAAATCGAACAATTGGCATAATTGGGATCTAAAAAAAAAAAAAAAAAAAATTTTGAAAAATTGAAAAAATGGGACGGCAGGTAATGCAAAACGAAAAATCAACTTTGCGTGGCCTTATACACTTTGACCTAAATTAAATATGCTTTAATTTTCCTATATAAAATTTAGATGGGATAAAATATGCATGATTCCGAATTATGCGCATGATTGTGCATTAATGTGCACGATTGAGGAATCATGCGCATTGTTAGAGGTAAAAAGAAAACGTGATTTAAGGATCGTGATCTAGGACCCGTGATCCCATAAAAAGATCGATGACCACGATTCGATCGACACATATAATCGTACCCGATCAAGAATGCATGAAACATGCATTAGGCGCCTAAAAAAACAAACAATTGAATGGTGAAGCTCATATAACCAAAAAAGGAAAATGGGTATGAATGATCAAGCCAAGGTTTTAGAATGGCGAAGTGAAAGAATAATAGGTGATAAAGAAGTAATATGATAAGGAAATATTAATAAGGCGTTAAAGTTAAAATTAGAAAACAGCCTTAAAGTAAAGTGTACGTACTGGAATCTAAGAATGTTTGGTGGAGGTAATCTAAGTCAAAAATCCAAAAGTAGCATAATCAAGTGGAAGTTGTAAAATGTATAAAAGACTGCAAAATTCATAATAAAGAAAATCATCTTCCATGCGCCTAAAATAATATTAGTAAGGGCAAAGATCAAGTGTTAATAAAATTCTCTTGATAAATAAAAACTTTAAACCTAAATAAAATACATACTCGCCAAATCTAACCACGCCTCTATATAAGCCTAAAAGTTGATATAACGCGAGATTTCTGGCCCTCTAGTGACAGACTCGCCGTTTTCGCCTACTTCAATAGACTAAAAATTTACCATCTTTAATGATACAAGCCTAGTTTACCAACCTTTCGCTATAAAAAGCTTTACTATAAGATTAAGGCTACGTTTTCATTACTAAATTGGGGTTGTAATAGAATTTTAAAATGCGCAGAAGGTAAATTTTCATTTACCCTAGGTACCACACAAAAAATGCGCGGCAGATTCTTGATTTTGATTGGCTAACAGCCGAAGATCTTCAAAATTTTGGTCCGCATTACAAAATTGTTTACTAAATTCCGGCCAGAATTAACTTTTTAATTTTTTCATTACAAAAACAGAAATTTTTAAAAAATAAGCACACATTATGATAAAATTGACCCAGGAACAATTTTCACTTAATAGGTGGCTGTGAGTAATTCCGGCTTAATTTTTTTTAGCCAATCAAAATCGAGGATCTGCTGCGCATTTTTCGTGCGGCACCTAGGTTCAATTAAGTTTTTGCTACTCTTGTCGATTAACTCATTAATCGATTTGTTGTCTAATAAAATTTTCAGTCAATTAGTTGACAACTTGACTCGATTTTTGATTTAGAACACTAGTGCAGGGATATCAAAAATGTAGGTTTGGCCGTAGGAGCTGATTGTTGTCAAAACAATCTAATTCTGGTGAAATTTGCTAATCATATCTCCTGAGCAGGGACATGGGAAAAATACCGGTTTGATTTGTAAAAACTTCATTTCGATATAGTAAAAAAATCCTTTTTATAGCGATATAAAATTTTACTCCTATTTTATCTATACAGTCAATTCTCCGCAAGTGCTCCTTCCATCTTCATAAGTGCCATTTAATTTCGCAATAAAATATATTGCATTTAAAGTAATTATAATTATATATTGTAATACTGTAGCTAAAACGAATATTCGATTTTATCAAGTTTGACTCCCGATTTATGTTCTTTACATATGACTAAAAAAAAAATTTACGCTAAAAAATTACGATTACCATTAACTGTTAATTAACCCAATTAGTGAATGAAGTACCAAATATACTATAATATGAATTTAGCTGGATCTGAATCTAAAGCCAAACTTCTGGAATCGAATCCGAACTTTAAAAATCTTAATAATTATATAGTGTCGCAACTGAAGCTAAAAAATTAGGGATCTTGATTGAAAATATAAATCCTACTAAAATCTATTTATATACCAGAAAAATTTTGAATTTTCATAGTATTTAAAATTTCCAGCTTCAGCAAAACATTTAATACAATAAATAAATAAATAAAATAAATTGAAATAAAATAAAATGATGATAAAAATGATTTAGCAGTTAAACTAAATTATATGCATTGTTTAAATTCAATTCCTCCATCTATTTCTAAATACATTTCATCAGTGTCGATACATTCATGAATAATATCATCAATAATAACTTTCTTGATATTTCTAATAGTGTATTTGTTAATTTCTTTTTCAACTGGCACATTTAAAAATCTTACATTATTATGTTTTCTTTCAATTTCAATTTCATCTTCCGTTTCTAAATATAGTTCTTTGATATTTTTTTGAATAATACCCTTAATGTTAACTCTTTTAATATTTTTAATATTTTTAATAGTGTACTTTTTAATTTCAACATCAAAAATCGACATATTTGATACACTCGAAGATTCCACATTCTCTAACCTGCTCGGTGATTCCATATTAGTTGACATGTTAGGCGATCCAGTATGATTAGTTGATACATCCAAAGTTTCCTGATCAGATAGGCGAGATTTCTTACTAGACTTCATCATTTGATATTGGCTGTCAATATCTTTCCATTTTTCATTATGATGTTTTTCAAAATGTTTTTTTAGATTAGTAACACTCGTACGAGAGACATAAGAGGCTGGGGATTCTTCACCAGATTTTTCACATTCTTTACAGTAAATTTTATTTGGATTTGATCGAATTGAATAAAAAAAATCCCAAACCGGATGGTCTTTTTTTTTAAGTTCTTGATTTTTGTCAGATTTTCTTTTATTTTGATTCATTTTTTTAAAAAAAAATAAAATTTTAACCAAAAAATCAGCCAATTTATAAAAATAAAAACTCCGACAACTCCGAATTGTTAAAACTTATATGGAATTATGGAATTTTCATTCCGATATCTGTCTATCAGAAAATCTTTTGGCGTGCATACGAACGTATCACTCAAAAATTACAATTTATTATTTGACAAAGCTGTTTGTAAAATCCTGCATCCCCGATTTTTGATATGATTTTATAAATATATATATATATATAATCTCTTTGATATTACATAAACATTAAAAGTACTTATTTGCCTTTTATTAAAAAAAAAGTCTATTCTAATAGTTCAAAAAATACGTATAAAACAGAAATCAGAAATCAGAAATTGGAAATCAGAAATCAGAATCAGAAATCGGAAATACAAAATTTTGCAAACTATAATAAAATGGAATTGTTCTAAAATACATTAAGAAATCTTCGATGGAATAATCTATTTACAGTATTCACAAATAAAAAAAAAACCTTATACTCAAATTACTTCGAATTTTTTTTCAAATTGATATTCAAATATATTTGACGGTCACGATTTCGTGTAAGACGTCTAAAAAAAAATTCATTTTAGAATTTTTTAGAATTTTTATGCCCATACCGTAATAAAAATTTTTAATTTCGGTTTCTATCTTTAATATAACGTAGAAATGATATAGTACTGTAGTATCGGTATATTTAATTATCAGAAACTTTTAATAAATCGTGATAGGGTACATAGAAAATCTGGAACAGGTTATGTCAATCTACGAATTTCAAGCAGTGCAAATATTAATAATAATATAAATATATATATTTAAGTTTCGAAAAATACGTTTAAATTTTACATTGTATAAATGCAGAATACAATAAAAATTACGGTGCTTATTTGCTTGCTTTATCATTTTTATGATAATTATGGATTTTTTTAACGGTCAGTAGTATGATAATTATCGCTCTTTTCAATTTACTGTGATCATAAAATGATCGACGATCACATGGAAATCTTCAAAATTCCCAAATTTAAGGCTTTTTTTGCAAATAAATCTAAATTTCTTGCTAACAAATAAAAATTTCCAAAATTTCTCTTCTATTTTCGCTTTTTCAGCATTTTATTAACCAATATACAAGAGCTGGTTGTTTGTACTGCTAAATAATATGGGAAATTTCAAGCCTTTTCTTGTATCTTATTTTTAATTTTTTTTTAAACTTTGAATGAAGATATCTTGACAACACCAAGTCAAATTTGATGAACCTTTCTTATTTAAATTCTACAAACCAGTAGAATTCAAATTAAGAAAAGTTTATTAAATTTGGCTTGGTGGCTGTCGAGATATTTTCTTTCAAAGTTTTATAAAAAATTGCATAGAATTTTCTCGAATTTAAATGAAGATACCTTGACAACCACAAAGTCAAATTCAATGAAGTTTTTTTTTCTTTGAATTCTATGAATCTGTAGGATTTAAATAAAAAAATGCTTATCAAATTTGGATTGATAGTTGCTAAGATATCTTCAATCAAAGTTTTAAAAAATTCAACATCTATCAAAAGCGATAAATTTCTCAACTTTGAATAAAAATATCTCATCAAATATTAACCTAAATTAAATAACCTTGAATTCTACAAACATAAAAGGAAAAATTTATCAAAATTGAGATGATGGTTGTCAAGATATATTCGCTAAAAGTTTGAGAAAAATTCTGTTGAATTTTTTTTTAACTTTGAGCAAAGGTTTCTTGACCACAAGGTCAAATTTAATGAACTTTTTTTTATTTGAATTCCACAAATCTGTAGAATGCAAAAAAAAAAAAAATCGTTAAATTTTGTCTAGTGGGTGTCAAGATATCTTTGCCCAAAGATTAAAATATGATTATCAAATTGCCGATTTTCAGATTTCCAAATTCTTAGTGATGTGTGATCTACAAAATTTGATGATCACAGTAAATTGAAAAGAGCGATAAATTGGTCTGGCCTAAATGCAATAAATGCACTCAACCTCCGTGATCTTAAATCATACTTGGACCGCAGTAGTCAGGTCGGTTTCCAGGCTCACAATTGCTGTCCAATAACCGACCATACCCATCCCTAGTTTGGGTTGAATGTTAACCCGAACTGAAATTAAAGATGTACAAAATTAGCATTTTATGTGTTTGTTTTTGATTTTAATTATACATTCCTACTCTATAAAAAAAGTTTGTTCTGTTTTTGTTCAGCTTTTGTCAGTATTGTTCAAAAATATTCAGAACAGAGTCATTATCATAGTAAAGGCAGGACAAAAATTGTACATATTTTTATGATTGAAAATTTTGAAAATATGCAATTTTTGTTCTGTTTTTATACTATAATAACTCCATTCTGAACTTTTTTTGAACAATATCGACAAAAGCTAAACAAAAGCAGACAAACTTTTTTTATAGAGCTATCCTGTTATTAGTATTATTTATTTTCTGGGGAGTAGAAATTATAATAGAGGTTACCGATGATCATAGTACGTGGATGGCCCAAAGGGCTATCCACGTACTATAATCATCGGTAACCTCTGTTATAATTTCCCTACAGGAAATAAATAAATAATCCCCAGGAGCGTGTTACTACTGTAGATGTTAATCGGACTACTATATCATTATTTTTACACGTATTTTATATTTATATTTGTATTGTTCTTTACTAACTTTTGGTTTTGCTTATTTTTTTTTTATTTACATCATTTTTATTGTTCTACTCTTTTTATCGCCTTTACTTTTTACTTCTATGTTTAACTTTTACTTTTACTTTGCTCTTATCGTGCCCTTTTTTAGCTTTATTTTACTGTTTCTATTTAATTTGCTTTTAAAGTTCTTTAGATAAAATGTGAAAAATACAAAAAAGAAAATGATTCAAATAAAAATTAAGTGCTAAAAATTAGAGTTTCCCAATGATCAATATGAGACCAGGAATCTCTCATGGGAAGATTCCTGGCCACAATATGATTATTATAAATATGGTTAATATTAAAGGGTGTCTAGATTTCTGCAATTTCTGCGATGCATTTGCCGAATTTGCAGAATTTACCCAGATTTACAGAATTTGCAAAATCCACAGTTAGATAATGTATTTTTATTGGTCAAATCAGTATTGATAATCTACCTTGTGCAAAATTGTACATAACGAAAATTTAGCAAATGTAAAAAAAAAAAATCACCGTAGTTACGAATGCTTTGCCTGAATATACTTGTGACAGTATAAAGAGAGCCTGTCAAGTTATTGTAGTTAGCAGAATAAATATTTTAGTTTCGTATTATACTACTACTATGAAGAAGTAATATTTAA